CCCCTGAGCTCCGGCCTATTCGTAGTTTGAAGGCGTTACGCTTGAACGTTTCGCGGGACAATTATTTTTTTTTATAGAGCCGTCTTCACTCTTCATGAGGTATGACGCGTTCATATAAGGTAACTCACCATCGACGTCTACACTTTGCCAACATTTCTGGAACGTTAAATAATTGCCCATCCAAGTTTCGTCCAGATAGAAAATTGTCTTATTTTGTTCCCTTAGCTTCCTCATCTCTCGCAAATACTTAAACCTCCAATTAATAATGTCAGGCCTTTCAATCAAACATTTTCTTTTGGAATCGCATTTCTTCCACTTTAACCCCATATCTTTGAAAAGACGCCGAAGTGCCCATTCGTACCATTTAAAATTAATCCTTTCTCTCAAAACAGATAATAGTTTTTTTCGCAACACTACTGTGAAATAACCTGTTTTCGTTCCATGTTTATCAACTGCGAAAATCCATCATTACATTATTTACCACGGCAAAAGAATGTTAACTATCAACTGCGAAAATCCATCATTACATTATTTACCACGGCAAAAGAATGTTAACTATCTTTTTTAGATTTTGCCGACGTAATCAAACAAATATTTTTTTGTCTTTACATTCATTGTCACAACACTCAATCACCCGTCTAATTAAATCCCTCTCTCCACTATATATATAGTAGCACCACATTTTGATAAATCCATAGCTGCAAGGACTGTCCAAAACAAAACAGAACTCCAATACGCAATCATACGAGACTGCACTGAACCAAATGACGTGACCACATGATGATAATCCACTTAACAAAACAAAGATATGAGTAATTATGTTTACAACAGTTGTTTACAGACAGACATCGAGGCGAGGCACTCAGATGCTTAGCGCCTGCAAATAGTGCGCGATACCCTCCAAACATAGCTGCGTATCGCTCTGGCTCAAGGGACTTCTTTACTCTCGCGGACAGTAACAGTGGCGGTTCCAGAGGGAGGGGCGAAGGGGGTGACCACCCCCCCCCCTAGGGCATACATATATATATTTTTTTACTGCATGTAATACACTCGTGCATACACATTGCGTAAAATAATTTGTCACAGTAACTTTGGAAAAAGATATGGTATATAACTGCCATCTTGGAGGCTTATTTTACACACATTTTTCGGGGTAGTACCCCAGAACCCCCCGACTCCCCCGGTTCGACACCCCACCCTTGTGACTGTTCTAGATCCGCCACTGTGTTCTAATAACTTAATATATCATTAACTTGATATATCATTATTTTTGTGGTATTAGCAGCAAATCTAAAGAATAATGATGATTTTTATGCCTGGTTAATAAGATTTATAAGATTTTATCCATTAAAAATGTTGCATCTGATGGTTCTAAGTTGCCATAACTAAAGATCGCAGTAGTAGTAAAATCTAGTCAATGAGTTTTAAGGTTTTACATCGTTCTCTACTCTGATCACAATTTTTAGATTTTTTAATACTTTGAAGAAAAATGTACGTCTATTTAGGTTTTGTGTGATATCTAATTACTGTAGTACTTAAATTAAAATTAACATATTTCCCAATGATATGACAATATGTACTTTATATATCTATTTAGTTTACATATATTTGATCAATGCTTTTTTTATTTATAACACATAATTTATTAGTTCAATTTACCTATATTTTTGTATTTTACTATCAACTTATTCTAAATCAAGAGCCTTAGAAACTTTAAAAAATAATTTAAGGTAGGTGCAATAAAGAGTTTTAGAAATTCACAATCGTGTTGTACCATATTATACCTAAGTTAGCATTATATCCATAACACATTTGAATTATTAGGCTATTATTACTTTCGTTATGTAAATTTATAAATATATTATTTTCTTCAGAGATTTAGGCTATATTTTTTATATTACGATTTATTATGTTGCTTGGATTTATAATTTGCTCTTTTATAGAGTTGTAAGACACTGATTTGTTGATAGTATTGATAAATTATTCTAATTCATTGTTACACTTTTATACACAGATATCCATGTTCACATTGTATTATAAAAATGTAGATCATATCATATCAAATTTTAAGAGAGTTTTGCATTTGTATTTTATAAATGTATGAAAAGCTTTACATATTAAAAAAGTAGTTATAAAATTTGTACTGTACTGTTTTTCTTTAAAATTAAATTTTTGTTCACGTTTTATTTATTGTTTGATTTTGTCATGATGTCTGGAGGTTTGATAAAGTCTATATATTAATAGGCAAGCATGTTTCTTTAAAACCTTTTTTCTCAGCTCGTGTGCATCCCAGGGAAAATCTATGCATACTGTTAGAAATGTGTTTTCCTGTAGATGTGCAGAATCCATTTATAAATTAAAATAGGCTCAAAAATAAGCACAAAACATGACTTAAATATTTAAAAAAATGTAACATGGTCCTTATGGGTTACCATGCTGGTGACAAAATAGCAACAAAATATAAACAGAAAATCAAAACAAATTAACAAATGGAAGAAATACCAATCAGATGTTTTAGTTACAGTGAGAATTGAAAATAGAGAAGTCTGGTACATGCATTTATGTTAGATATTTTTTGTCAAGTCTTAACCACTGGACGACCTCTAGTTAAATTAAATGTACAGAATTTGTATGGTATCCTTTTTTTCTCATGATCACGCTGTTGAATGGTGAGCCCACTGGGGTTGTTCTAAAACTTAATAACCCTCATTCAGAACCTCTTCAAGTTTTTTTAAAGTTGAGGTAGTTTTTTACAAATATCAAAAGACCACTAAAATATTTTGGGGTCAAGGATTTGTAAGCTTCTCTGATACATAAAATAGCTCTAGTTGTTAGAGTGTAATAATTTACCTAACTGATTCCATCTGTTTGCTTGTTCATGTTATTCCACTGTGTGAAATTGCATTAATGATCTATATCCATCTGATATCTATATCATATCTATATTTTAATTTCTTAAGTACTTTTTTTGTCCGTAGACCTTAACTTACCAAATTTCTTCACCAATTTTCATAAATGAGGTGTCACTAAAGCTTTTTTACTTTCTACCCGGGAAAGATATGTCACTAATTTTTCAGTAGTTTTTCATAAAAACAATCTATATTATATCATTATGCAAGTAATTTTAACTTGAAATGTTTATTAACGTTATTTGATCAGCTGAAACATGTGAATTAAATTAATCAAAAGAAAGGAATATTTATATCTCAAATCTGAGTGTTTTGTTTTTCAATGGTGACCAATATACTAAGTCTGTGCTTTCTACGATAAATAACTCCCTGGATGAAATCACAGTATTCACTTTAAAGAAATCTAAACAAGAACAAGTCAAAAGTAAGTAATGCATGAATTCATTAGCTTTTATATTTCTTTATTTACGACATTGCCTTCATTTTTAAATACCTACCAACCGTTCTATGTATATTTAAGAATTCAATCTTAAAATATCACCCGTTATCTTTTCTTTACTGCGGGTTTCAATAAATGGTTATGTTGTGTTGATTTTGTTACCAACAGGAAACGGTTAATATCAGTTTTCATTCGGTTCTTTTAAGGGACTAGAACCAGGACGTGCTGTTGTATTCATTTGAGTTTCCCTAAGCCCTTTAGATTTGTTACCTCATAAATCCGCGCTAAAAAAAAGCTCTATATTATCATGTTTATGAGAAACCTAAGCATTACTATCCAAGATTGGTTGTAGCTCACTTGGGCATCTACTCTATCAAAGCGAAGTAAGTTACCTTTTCCACGACTTTAAATAAGGCACATGGACTGACTATGTGTTATCCGTTACTGGACTCATTAATTAATTTTATTCCTATTTTAAATGTATTACAGCTGATGTAATGTTTACAATTTTAATATTGAGGAATGAATGAAAACAAGACATTATTTTCAGTTTCATAAAATTATGTGTTGTAATGATTTAATTCAATAAGTACGTAACAATGGCGACTCAGAGCTTAAAGAGAACTTAATTACAAGCTTGAAGAGAACGGGACATTCTAAATGGATATTCAAGAAGTGACTGAACAAAACAAAGCAATATTGGAAACATTACAAGCCCAAACTGCTGCTCTTCAGGACCGTCCAAAGGGGGTGGGGCAACCGCATGGGCAAGCTGCCCTGGGCGCATTTTATAGGTACAATAAGGCCTCTCTTGATATTGAATCGAAAGCCTTATTAAGGTCCACAAAACAACAATACAGCTTGCCCCTTTTTTATAGCTCTCTATCTATAAGTGTCCTTAATACAAATACATTGTATATGTTGAATAGCCCTGCTTAAAACCACACTGAAAACATGATATTTTTTCGTATTTGTTTGCCCAAGCCCTAATTCGGTTATTTAATAGTTTTGCATAGCACTTGCCTAACACTGGGAGTAAAGTAATGGCTCTATACGAGTTGGGATCTTGTCTGTCTCCACTGCCTTTGTATAGACTGTATATCATACCCTTGACCCATACATTTGGTACTTTCCCGCCATTAAACTTAAATATTAATTCAAACAATCAAACATCCTTATAGTTATAAACACTTCGTTCTGCAAAATACTTTTTATAAACTGTGGACATATTCTGTCAACTCCACAAGCTTTCCCATTTTTTAATTCCTTAGATACAGCCATTGACTAAGGAAACAAAAGTTTTTTTTGTTTCCCTTGTCTGTGGTGTGACTTTGACTTTATGAAATCAGCTGCTGCTAGTGCTGCTACATCGACAGCTAAGCGCAAGTGCAGAAGGGCGGCATTTTCCTGTCATGAAAGGCTCGCGTCTGTTCTGTTTTACTTTGTTTATGCTGCTAAGTAACAGACAGACCGCAGTCATCAACAAGATGGTTCTTCTTCTTCAGCGGCCAGTTTTTTTTCGTTTGCAATAAGTGAAAGTGATCAGTCAAAACTCAAAACAAAACAGTCAGGCTGTAGAGACTAGAGAGAGTAGACGCTTGTTGTGAAATCTATGCCCGCTCGCTGTGTCGGTACAAGTTTTTTCTAGTGGGGCCTTGGTGCAAGTCGGTGTCAGCGTGGACCAGTGATGCAGCAGTTAGTGACGTCATAACGGCACTTGAAAAATCTCCCGTGTGCCGCACCGACCCACCGAACCGACCACTCATCAATCGTGTAAAACAATAACATAACCTCAACCTCATCAGTCAGCCCAGCCTCAGCCCTCAGGCCTCAGCCAGCAAGCACACAGCGCAGCCAGCCCAGCGGCCAGCAGACTAAGTAGGAAGGAAGGAACTAGGACTAGGACTAGCCTAGGCTAGACGGCTAGACCATAAGTTACACCATTCCATAGGGCAAGGGCATAGACTGATAGACTCAGAAGAGTTAGAAAAGACAAGAAAGAGCAAGCGAAAATTAATTAGTGGTTTGGATTCAACCAGCAACTAAGTTACCTAACCCTCTATAACTGTTAAACTTAACCACCAGTAACTTAATTTATTTACTAACTTATATAAATATTATATTGCATGCCTTCCGTCAATAATTAGGCCTAATAAGCTTAAGGTCTCAAATTTCACTTTTTGCCTGAGTTAGACCCAACCCAATAGGCTAAAGAATTGCACAGAAATTTACCAAAATTACATTAGGGCCTAGAAGTTGGTGCGAGACTGGACCTAGTGAATAGGCCTAGTGAGTAAGTCAGGTCTTGCCTTTTTCCATCCCCATGTTAAAGTTGTTGCCAGGTTTTTAATAAAATTTGTCTTAAGTTTAGTTGATGTGAGCCATCTACAGATTGCGCTGATCTAAATTAAGTATACTGATTTCTGCCGATTACACGATAGTTCTTCAAATGATTTATTAGGCCATTCAGTGCATACAGGACAATAGGCTACGTCAACAATACAATAAATAACATGCCAAGCTTCTTCTAGCATTCTTGACTAACAAAATTAAATTAAAAGCTGAAAAAAACATGCAGGATCTCAATCAATATAAACATACAAAGCAATGCATGCAACTAAAAATAATAAAAAAAAATGAAAACTACATGCTGCAAGCCATGCAAGGCAGAGAAAAATAAATAAATTTACATTTTTGTAATACCTCTACTGGACTACTGTGGGTTCAACCCAATAGTAACAAGCTGTGCATTCCAAAACTCTTTTATGGAATAGAAAGGATTGGCAAGCATCCAAGCTTTTAGTGTGGTCGCAAACTTGTTCAGTAAGAGTTGTCTTACAGTTATGGGTAAGGCATTGTAGAACCTTATTCCTGCAACAGGAAAGCAGTTGAGAGTTAAATCTAGTCTAACTCTATCTCTAAAAATATTTTCATTGTTCCTAGTGCTATAATGATGAACATTATTAACCAATGGAAAAGCTGATTCATTGTTCTTAATCTCTAACAGGCATTGGTAAATAAATACATTGTGTACAGGCATTATACCATGCTGAACAAACAGAGGTTTACAATGCTCAAGCTGATGGACTCCACACAAGACCCTGACAGCTTTCTTCTGTAGTTTGAGGACTTTTTGCACTCCAGGGGAGTGACCCCAGAGCCTAGTGCCATACAGAATATGAGCATGGAAAAAAGCAAAGTACGCAAGTCGAACAAATTCAAATGGCATGTCAGCCTTCAACCGTCTGAGCAAATGGATTACACGACTTAGCTTACCACACAGGATTTCAATATGATCGTTCCAATCAAGCTGAGGGTCAAGGGTGAAGCCCAGCAGCTTTACAGTGTTTTCTTTCCTCAGTTCCCTAGAAAGACTGAAAGTGATGTTTTGAGTTTTGGCTTGGTTCAGGCATAATTTATTGTTGCGAAACCAGATAGAAGCTACATCTAATAATTCCTGCACAGCAACTTTAGATACAGAAAAATCTGAGTGACTAGAAAAGAGAGTTGTATCATCTGCATATAGCAGGACATTGCCTGCAACACTGTGATACAAGTCATTGATTGAGATTACAAAAAGGAAGGGACCCATAATAGACCCTTGCGGGACTCCATTGTTCACCATGAGAGGACTGGAAGAGTTACCATTCCAAGTCACAACTTGAGACCTCCCTTCAAGATAAGATTTAATCAGTGAGAGAGCATCGCCTCGTACCCCGTACCTTTCGAGCTTTGACAACAGGAGACTATGTGACACACAGTCAAAAGCGCGGGATAGGTCACACATTATAACAGAAGTAGAATTTCTAATCTCTAGACCATTTAAGATTTCTTGAACAAGACAGTCCACAGCCTGAACGGTGGACTTTCCTTTTTGGAAGCCAAATTGAGCGGGCACAATAAGGCGATGCCTCTCAAAGTAGCTGTACAGCTGCTCTAACATGACTGCTTCAAGCACCTTACCAAAGATGGGGATGATAGATATTGTTCTGTAACTTACAGTACTGTCCTTTGGTCCCTTTTTGTACACAGGTACAGTCCTACTAATCTTCAGAGCCTCAGGAAAGACTCCTTCTCTCAGAGATTTATTTACAATATCTACAATGATTGGCGCCAAGTCAAAACGATGTAATGACTTATTATGAGCTAAGTAGGTTATATAGTTACCTATAGCGGGTACATTTTCTTAACTGGGCTATGCTAATATCGATTGAAACTATCGATTCGATTAGTAAACCTTTGTGCGATTTTACACCATCAGCAAGTTTGGTTGGTTAGGTTAGGTTAAGATAGTTTAATTTGGGGTCTGACTTAAGGGAGGTACAAATGAGGCAACGATGACATCATAGTTTAGTTAAAAATTCCTCCGTTAACAGCATTGTAGTTAGAGAGCACAGCGTGTAATTTTTACTTCATTATTAGGCCTAGTTAATTATAAAATTAAGAAAAATTAAAAATTAATCTTAACATTTTTCTATTATTAAATTAAACTGTCATAACCTAAACAAACTAACCAAACGTGCTGATAATGAAAAAATCGAATGAAGGTTTAGGCTACTAATCTAAAAAATAGTTTTTTCATAAAATAAAAATTAAATGCCTTAATTTAATTTCTTAATTATAAAATTAAACTGTCATAACCTAACCAAACCAACCAAACTTGCTGATATGAAAAAAAAAATTGTTGACAAAAAGTTAGTGCTGCCAGCGAGATTCGAACACGGCACCTTCGGATTATCAGCCCGACACGCTATCCACTACACCACCGAGGCCGATGACTGAATTCCGTATCGTTGCGGTAATGGTGTTTCCTCAAGAGGAGATCTGACAGCTTGTACCTCCCTTGAGTAAATACCGTTTAATTTGATAATAAATATATTTAAAAATATCGATAATTAATCAATATTTTCAATTTGATAGTTTCAATCGATATTAGCATAGCCCAGTTAAGAAACTGTACCCCCCATAGCAACTGTTATGACCCAGCAACTGTGTCAGAAAAAAAATAATAAGGCACAAAATAGAGTTTTAGACACTACATTAGCAATGAATACACAAACTATAAAGAAGTACAGGTCCTATGGACAATATTCTAGCATTATTTTCAAATTTGGCGCGCGAAATATCTGTAGTTCTGCACTGAACCACCACTCAGTGCTGTAGTCAAGTTTAGCACGCGGTGAAGTGCGAGAGAGAGGGACATACACTGTTTTCGTCCCCTGTGGGCCAGGCCACGAGAGAAAGAGAGAGAGGGCGAAAACAGTGTATGTCGCTCTCTCTCGCACTTCACCGCGTGCTAAACTTGACTACAGCGCTGAGTGGTGGTTCAGTGCAGAACTACAGATATTTCGGGCGCCAAATTTGAAAATACTGTTAGAATATTGTCCATAGGACCTGTTCTTCTTTATAGTTTGTGTATTCATTGATATTAGCGCAATGTGTGACTGGCTCACACATCTACATTCATTTTTAGTAAAAAATTGTTGACAGCTGATCCATATAGATGGGATGTCTTCTTCTATATCCAATCTAACAAAAAACCACTAAGTGGTAACACTTTCCCCGCCAAGTCAGCAATCCAAAAAAGATAATAAATCATTGCTTTTTTCCGCCAAGAAAAACAATGTAGGCCTAATGTATGGCATGTTAAATAAAGATGGCCGACTTTGGCAGATTTTTGCTTGGTTTTTTTATGTGAGTTACGTTCGAGGATTAATACTGTTAAAACAAACTGAGCTGACGGAATTGAACTACAATTGATTACTGCTGCTTCTACTGTTCTGTTAATAACAACTTATGTTTTTATTTAGCCCGTGGTTCAAAGAATACTTGCATCTGGTGGCCTACTTAGCACCAATTTAATTCGGGCAGAAATAAAATTTTTTTTTATATTTTGTAGGGTTACTTATGTTAGTTTTTTTTGAAAATTTATATAAAAGACATATCCTTCCAATATAAAGAATAAAATAAACCATCTCTTGTAAGCATTTTATTGAAATAAATTAAAGGGCCATTTTTAGTTAAATTAAAAATGATTATAAACAGTTTGGGTGTAATATATAGACCACGGCACAACAACATCTCATTTCATTTCGAACAATAATATTGTTTGTCTAAAAAAATTAAATTGAAAGTAAACACAGCTTTGGACTAGGCTTAAGTAAATTTTGTCATCACAATACCATCATCAGACATGAAAATATCAGCTGAAGCAGTGTCGTCAAAGTTTGAACATAACATACACAGATATTTCCTAGAGAGAGAGAGAAATCTTTATTAACAATCTTCAATATTGTGGATTAAAGTCCACAAATGGATAAATGGAGTCCTAAGTACATTAAGATTAATAGGACTAATTACAATAATGCACAGACCAGTCACACACACGGTACTGGTTGACATTGTCTCGATCCGAGCAAGACGCTGACACTTACAAGTGATTTAAAATAAATATATATTTTTGTTTCAGGAACCCCCCTTATTTTCGGTGAAGTTTCATCATGGGAAAAGCTGGGTATAAGAGATTTAAAAAGCAAGAAAAAGCCAAAGTTAAACTGAAAGGGAACAAAACTATACTACCGAAGGGTCAAAATGTAACAGATACAAACTTCAAAGTGAAGAAAATCATTGTAAAAGAGCAGTTAAAAGAACATGGAGAAAACGAGTTACTCACTAAAAAGCATTTAAGTATTAAGGTTAGTTTTTTCTTCAGCATTAAGATAAGAAAGTCTTTTGAATCCTATGCTATCTAGGCTATTTTAATCATTGAACCATGGAAATCATTATTCTGTAATAAACAAGTGTCATAGCGTATCTCTTTTTTAGCCAACCTATTTCACTTTATGATAAACATTTTGTGACTGGATATTTATTAGCCTAATATTTTCATTTTTAGTGGCTCTTATTTTGGCAAAATGTGGAGACTCTATAACACCAAAACTCTTTTGTATGGGTTTAAACCTTTTGTTTTACTGTAAGCTTACACCCAAATGGGCGTTTTTTTTTTCACACACAAGAACGAACACAGCATAAAACACACCTTAAACAATATGAAAAGCATTAAATGTAATGTGGAATGCTATACGCATTGTGGTTTCACGCAGTAGTGGGCTTGTTTTTGTTTTAACGCTGCTCAAATTTTTGATGTATTTTCTTGCTGTGCTCATGCGGGAAAAATGCCCATGCATGAGTCCGTAGCCTTAGTTTCCAGAAAACAGCATCTTAATTTAACAGGTCTAATTTGCTCGAATTGTCAATTAGTTCGTCACTGATTTAGATTTTAACATTGCTGTTGACAATAGCCTACGGTAAACCTTTTATTAAAACAGTTAGGCTAAGTCAGGCCTATATGTATTTACATAATATATTTTTGATGTAAAAGATCCCAAAACCTTTGTTAACAATCAATGCCATTTAAACATAATATTTCTATCTACAGTAGACCCCCTCTTAACCGACCTCGTATTAACCGATAATCGGATTATCCCCCTTCGATCGTAAAATAATACAGTTTGTTTTAACCGACCTTGCTTTGAGAGCAGTTCTGCTTAACCGCCGCTTTCTAGGAATCTCGGCATTTCCGCTCCCACGCTGGGCGATGAGAACTGAACCATAGACCTACGCTTATCTCCACAGGATATGACTAAGAATAAGTTATTTTGTATTCATCACAAAAAATATAGCATAGCCTATTGTCAGTTTGTCATCATCGTTCGTAGCGCCCACATCTGATCTGATTTGTTATCTGTGGGCAAATTTATAACATCATAAAGTGCGTTACGATTTTGAGAACTGATTATCCTATCGCTGGAGTAAACAAACAACGCAACTCTTAGGGAGGGCAGGGAAGGGGGGTTAACAACTCTAAGGTCAAGATAGTTTTTGTGCCTCGAGCTTCCAGTGAGAGGCTATAAATAAACATCCTGTCTTGTAACAAAATGGTTGCTTGTATCTTTAATTTCGACAAAAGGATCTGTACTGTATTACGATGGATTTGGAAAGCATCAATTAATATATTACAGTACTAAAGTCATTAAAATAGGAATTTTTATTGACTCTTGCCTAGTATTATAATATATATTCCACTGAAAGTAGGCCTATTTGACTTAACCGTGTTTTGTGTTTATTTGTGACTTTTCTATCAATACGAAAAAGGAGATAAGAGTAGTTTATTTTATAAATAATGCAAGTATGAGTTCAAAATAATGATTATGTAATTCCAAATGAATAGCACTTCATTATGTTATGATTTTTAGGGATTGCCCGTTTTAACCGACCTTTTTAAGAGTTATCCGACCTAGGTCCGGTCCCATTGGGGTCGGTTAAGAGGGGATCTACTGTATTTGGGTTTTAAAAATATACAGCCTAAAATAGGTAGGTACCTATGGACAAAATCTGTATTTTCAGAACCTAAATAAGCCTAGATAGAAATATGTACATGGCATTGATTGTTAACAAAGATTTTGTGATCCTTTACATAAAAAAAAATTGTTACACTATTTTTTAACAGGAGTATGGGTAGGGGGTGATTTTTTTCAAATAACAATTCCTATTGAGTGACCCCTCATTTTAAAGGGTTTGTCAAGAGAAATACAATGAAGCAAAAATGGCGCAGTGGAATCCCAGAACCTTGGATCAATGCCACAAGCAGAATATTTCGATCTGTCCAGTAAAAAAAAATAAGACTTGTTTCCATATTTGTAAAATTAGTGCTTTTTGGCTTTTTTACATCAATCAAATTTTTGGAATAGGCTACCTGACATTTTTGCTAGGGGTGAGATATCTACCTCGGGTTTGCTTTTCTCATAGGCTTCTTATAGGTTCTTATAGGCTTTCACAGTAGACAAGGAGAGTGAACTAACATTGTACCTCTTGTAGGAGTTGATATCTCATCTGAGCCACCACAACTCTGGTATGAGACAAGAGGCTCTGGCTGGTCTGAGAGAGCTGATAGTAACTCATGGGTCAGACATTATACTGCCATCACTGTCTCACATGCTATAGGCTGTCACAGTATATAAAGAGAGTGAACTAACATTGTACCGGTACCTCTTGTAGGAGTTGATATCTCATCTGAGCCACCACAACGCTGGTATGAGACAAGAGGCTCTGGCTGGTTAGAGAGAACTGATAGTAACTCATGGGTCAGACATTATACTGCCATCACTGTCTCCCATGCTACAGGCTGTCACAGTAGACAAGGATAGTGAACTAACATTGTACCTCTTGTAGGAGTTGATATCTCGTCTGAGCCACCACAACTCTGGTATGAGACAAGAGGCTCTGGCTGGTCTGAGAGAGCTGATAGTAACTCATGGGTCAGACATTATACTACCCTCACTGTCTCCCATGCTACAGGCTGTCATGGGCCTCACAGTGGACAAGGAGAGCGACGTCCGTACAGATACTATCAAACTGCTGGCAGCTGTCTTTACTCGGGTAAGTTTCTGAAGAGTTAGATGTAGCTACGTAAAATTTAACTCCTTCTCTACACTCATAATGATGGGTCTATGATTTTGAGACCGCTCCGAGTGTTTCCACTCAAAGCAAAAGAAAAATCCTACTAACCGAGTTAAAAAAACTATGTCTGGCTTGAATTTTCCTGTTTCATCCAAAGTAACATTTTTTACCTATTATGGTTTTTTTTATAAATATCTCTTCAATCCTTGCTATAATATAGGCCTACTGTATAAGATAGTTCCAGCAATTTGGGATGGATTTTATTGGAAAAGCAGGAAAAGAATTAAATCAGGTGTCAGAGTAAAATGTCCTGGTTTTATCCTACATCTGGTTTAAATTTTTATCGCCCACATGGTCTAAAAATCCTGCATTTTGAAACACTGACTGCAACACTAGGTGCATATTTTAAGCTGAATTTGAGTGAAATATATGAATTTGAGTACCCTAGAATAAAGTGATATGATCTGTGTAGATTTGTTGATTAAGATCAACCATTTCAGCTGAATGGTTCTGTTTCAAAGCCATGTACAAAATAGGTTACCTATGGTACTTGTACTATATTAAACAATTGGCCTACAAAAGAAAAATACACCAATTGCTTCTGTCTGCAATCAAAAAGGACTAGACAAACAGGTTGGGAGTTGTTTGCAGAGTATGAATATGTGTGTAGTTATATACACAGTTGAGTAAATATGTGTATTTTTCATACTTGTATGGCTCTCTGAACTTTCCGGATTCATAACCAAATGACTCTAAACAAGAGCAAGTATATCAAAATATCATGTAATTTCTAAATGTTTAACAAACATTATTTTAAATTTCACAGGTAGAAGAAGATGAGCTGGCACCTTTATACCCTTCTGTTGTTTGTCACCTAACCTGCGCGATGACCCACATAGAGCCAGCTGTACGTAACGACTCGCTATTGCTGTTAGACACAATGTTGGCAACACTGCCAAGACTGACAGCCAATCATACGCAAGCACTGCTGCCACACTTCCTGGACTTAATATCACACCGAGGCGGAGACACGGGGACCCGAGCGCTCTCTCTACACCTAGAGGGGAAGGTTACATCAGACAAGTGGCGAGGCAAAGTCATTGGACGATTGAACAAACTGTTCACTGTGATTTCAGAACACTCTGTGGGAAGTGAGTAAAATCTATACAGTTGACACTGATTGCACATACAACTACCATATCTTATGCTAAAATCAAGACCGTTAGATCAGGGGCGGCTCCAGGATAGATTCTCGGGGGGGGGGGGGGGGGGGGCAACCAGTGGCTATGGCTTCTCCGGGGTGCCTGGGGGGTATGGAATTCCCCCCATCAAAAGGGGAGGTCCCTAAAAATTTTGAAAAATATGTGTTCAATATTGCTGTTTTAGGCTATCAAAAAGTGCTGGCCGTAACTTCATAAAATTCAGTTTACTCCAACATTTTTTTAGTTGTAAGTACAAAAAATGATTTTTTGATCACAGGAAATGACACACCTTTAAAATAGTTTATATTTAATGTTTTCTTTTAATCCACAAATATAAAAAAATACTTTATTACTAAAAATAAACAAAAAAATTTAAAATATGTTTTCTTCTAAATAATATATTCCTAAGACGCAAGAGGCAATAAAACATAAATTTGTGCTGACATTTAGCTGAAAAAGCAGTGTTACAGAGAAACCCCTTATTAATTATTACGTACTATTGTATTGTACTAAGTTTATGGGTAGATAGATATCTCTAAGACACAAGAAAATTTGATTCCTAATACAGTGGAGTCCCGATAATCCGAACTTCGGTAATCCGAAAGTCCGCCTAATCAAAAACCAAATAAAAAATATTTTTTAAATTTTTTTGAAATTTTTTAGTTTTTTTAAAGTTTTTTTTTATTAAACTTTTAACACAGTTAGCTGTACCTTGTCAACGTATTCTGTAGCGGCCGGGCGAGATAGACTTTTTTGTAGAGTATTTTAGTATTTCACCATTTTTGTTATTACTGTAACAATTTTCATATTCGTCCGCCAAATCACAAATGGATTTTATTACTGTAAGTGATAATGCTGCAGCCACTAGGTCTAGCCTTAAGTAATGTGAAAAACAATCCCGAGCTCGTGCCTGCGTCCTAAGACAAAAAAAAATTCAAAAAAAAATTTTTTTTTTCAAAATAAAAAATGTGTTTAATTCGAAATATTTGGTAATCCGAAATGGGCCCGGTCCCAACCATTTCGGACTAACGGGACTCTACTGTATATGAAATGGTTTACAACAAACTGTTGTCATTCAAAAGAGACTACTGTAGGGGTACAGTTACTAAGCACAAAAAAACTAACCCTAGCCTATGTACATTTAAGTTTTAAAGACACAAGAAAATTACATTATAATAATAAACTGGTTTACAACAAAATGTAGTACGGTAATTTAAACAAAACTTCAAACGAGTTAACCATTAAAACAAAATAACACTAACCTAAGTAAATATTTTACATATATATAGGCCTACATATATCTATATATAAATTACGTAAGCCGATTCTTTGCGTCATAATTGTGGGTGACTGAGAAGTCATAGAATGATGGGAGAGGGCTCAAATTAAAGTTCTGGATCCCGTGACAGCGGGAAAAATAGTGCAATACCCAAAATTTTAACACAAAATTAGATATAACATAAAATGTTTTCCTTAAGAATAGCATTAGAAACCATTTACTGCTGATTTTTGTTTACTTCAATAAAGCTGATCGTGATTTATCATTTAGCTGGTACGCAATATTAAATGTGGATGACTTATTTTCCAGTCAATTCTGCAATGTAGCCTACTATATAAAACCAGGGATAACGTTACCTATAATAATTAAGACTTTTTAGTTACGCCATAGAATGTTGAAATAAATTATTTTACTGTGAAACTTTTCAAATTTGTGTATTTTTATTTTTAACGTTTAACAAGAAATAACCACATTGACTAAATAAATAATTAACGATTCAAGATAAAATGGAGTTAACTTCTGCTTTGTTTTTATTTCAATACATATGTTCGAGATTTATTCTACACTTATTTCTTTGTAAATTTATTAACTTTTTTAATTTGAGATTTATTGTAGTGTTTAATCAATATTTTGTATGAAGTGGAATAACCTCAACGGCTACTCTTAGAAAATAACCTGGAAATAAAGATGGAATAGGTTCGTTCGGGTAATATATTTGTTAATTAAGTAAGTACTATGACAATTCCAATATTTGTTGAAAAAAAAAACAATATTGTTTGGAGGAGATTTTAAACAGGTACTGTCTGTTGCTCCAAGCAAAAAAGGTTAAAATAATAAATAGCCTAGCATGTATGGTATAGGCTATAATAGTAAAGGGAGCATCCACATATAACACTATAACAGTAAAGCCTAAAGGTAGTTTTTTCCGTTTTATTTTTGTTTCTTAAACAAACCAATAATATGCATGTAAATGCTGATGAAAAGTAATTTCGTAATTGGTTTTGATAACTGGGTAATGGAACCCTAACCAGTTGCCAAAGAGTTAGGAATCAGCCGATGATTAAGCCTATTTTGATAGAATATGTAAAGTCAAACACACCTTTAAGAGGAATACCACCACATAAACTTACTTACACTAATTGTAGTTTTTTAATGTTGATCTGAGAACAAATATAGGGTTAAGTTTGGTTAATGGGATGCCTTTATTTTGTTAAACCTTTGCAAAAGGAGTATAAACTTAGAAATATTACCTGGGTAGGGAGGCTAATGTAGCGGTTTTGGCCAAGAACTAAGCTTACATCAACACACCTATATTTGCCTTTTCATATTTGACGAAGACAATTTCCAAAATTCCAATCAGGGATGCCCTTTTTATCACCATTAACCACAGACCAAACCTTAGTAAACCAGAATTTACCAGTAGAGTTAAACCTATGGAGTGATTCAAATTACAGTATTTATTGAAAATAACATCATCAAAAAAAAAGAAAACAAACAACAAACTGCAGTGTACACAAAAGATATGGTGTACAGGGATATCTATTCCGTCTGACCCATAGATAATTTAATTCTGAGTTTGTTTAAATATTAGAATAATTTGTTTTACATTTGAGCTTTTTAGGGACTTGCGTCCCTACAAGCCATTAGTAATATTTAAATTTGTTAAACCTAATATTATATTCCTTGGATGATTTGATGGGAGAAAGTATATGAGTCAGATTGCTGATACTGTTTTTTTTTCTTTTAGGTAAAAAAGAGAAAAAACAATCAGTGAAATGGCCATATGACAGACCTTTATATGTTGGTCTTTATGATCCAATTTCACAAAATAATAACTCCAATCTTGAAGAAGCTGCTTTGAGTCTACCAATTAAGGTGATTTGAAATATATTTTACTGTGTGTAGTTTTATTGTTGCTCTCCCAATCAAAATAACTTTATGGAAGAAACTAGCTTAGACCCAAGGCTTCGCCTGCGATAGTGTTACAATCTAAATCAAAACATGTGACACAACTGGATGCTTGAACTTCTCTAATATTTGTTTACCTTATCTTTTTGTTGAGGTGTATGTCTTTAGTTCTCTTACGCTTTTGCTAATAATTATCCGTAGTGGCTTCGCCAACGATCATAAGAATAATTTATTATAATTATTTGCGATTGAATTACAATTAAAAGCCGAATAAAAACCAACAAAAAACAATATGTTAAATCTTAAAAAAATCTTACAATATAAAATCTTAAAACTGAAAATGCTGCGACTCTTTCTCCAAGGTTTAGTTCTTTCATAGCTGTATCGGCTCTTCTCATACAGGTAAAGAAACTTTTTCACCAGAACAACTCATTCCAGCAGGCTCATCTTTCCATTTTAATGCTCTGTCTGCAGTGTGCTCTGTCCATTATATTATTTTTTCATAATAATTATAAACTAGTGTACCTGTTGCTCGAATTTGAGCAATTGCTAAGTATTACAGGCGTTACTTTAAAACGAATAACACTCATAATTTCTGATGACTTAAAAAAGATTCAACTCAAAGTCATGATGTACATAACAGTTCAATATAATCAACATTTCTTGTAAATATCTTATCATTTTTCAAAAGCTGATCTTGTTTTTAAGTGTTTTCTACAAATAGCCTTACTCATAGCCGCATTAGGTTGTCCATAATAACGATTATAAATTCTTAAAAAAACCCATTATTTCAGTTTCTTCTCCTTGGTGGTGTTCTATAACTTTCCTATGTTTTCATAGTTTGCAAATCGGCTCTTTCAATGAAAGAAAGGTCAATGGCAATAAAACTCTTGATTCTTGATTGATTACCAAGAAGGTGGCGTCCCCATCTCAACGATTGATAATTGATAATTGATAAATGCAGTACAGTGTTAATTCAGTTTTATTTTTACTATATTAAATTATCCAGGCCCTCTCGCTTTTATCCATTGTAATATTTACGCCAACCCAAATTAAATTAGTAAATGAAATTGATTCTGGCGGTGTGCGCCAGAACCTATGGTAGCAGTTACCAGCACAGCTGACGGTCTATCTATTATATTATTAAAGTGATACAATCAAATTTTATGTAAACGGTTAAGGCCATTTACCAAATAAATATATAGGCATATGGCACATCAAAATTAAGCTTAGAGTGTGTAGATTTGCCGAAAAGTATTGATATGGACGAACTCCCTAAGGGCTTTGTCCCACAGGCTGATTTCAGTGATTTCCAATGGGCTTCGCCTTGCATGTTTTGGAAGTTAACGTTATCCGATTAATTTAGGGAAAAACAGCTGGCCAATACAATTGACAATATAGTTTGTTTGTTTGTTTGTTTACATTTTTGTTTACTTATTTTATTAGTTACTTTTATGTTCTTAAAAGAGGTGCGGTGAATGGACAGTGAAGGATACAAAGTCCCTGTTTGATACAAGTGAGTGATTAAAGGTGTTAGAAACTCGATGAATATGAGATTAACAAACCATGTATGTTGTTCGTTGCAAGAGGCTGTCACCGATCTTTAACAGGACACCATTTCATTGAAAAGTATTAGGTAAAGACGTCGTGAAAGAGAGCGGCAAGTTCAGGTACAACTAACTGTACCTACCTCGGCCACCTTAGGACGTAGGGTATGACGGTTCCACTGCTTTTAACATCCTTTCGGATGACAATTTCTCGAACTTGGGCCCTTTAAATGAAATATAAAGTCAAAGTTGATTAAATTAATTTAATGGTGGCTTCTGTACACCCGTGAATTTGCGGGTAGAACCTCTTGTATTTAAATATTTTTGTCTATGGTTCAAATTAGCTGTTGTTATAAAATAATGCAAAAAACTAATATTGCTGTACCCTTTTGGAATGTTTACAAATAAATATAAATTAAAAGCAGATGTTTACTTTCACCAACTGTTTTGTAGGTATGAATAATCACAACATACTGTATTAGTCATGATTTGAAATAGTGCCACACTGTTTCAACAGAATGCAGCACAGAAAACTATTTTACTTTTGGATAAGTCCAAATATATTAAACCCGAATTGCAGCACACCTGTGCTCTCAATAACGTTTAAATTCTGCACTATTAACTATGTAAACATAAAAAGTAAAAACCTTTAATATCTCAGTATTATAAACTATAATACCCCCGCCGCAGCAAACCTGCAGACTAAGCGAATTTCCATTTGCCTGATTGGATTTGCATATAAATCTATTTCAATAATATTAGGTATAACGATTACCTAGGTTTGCTGCTACAGGGAGGGTAATAAAGTGTGTTTATAAAGTGGTAATAAAGTAAAACATTAATAGCTTAGTATAAAAGAAATAGATTTGCCAAGTTTGATCAAAATATATACATAAACAAGCAAACTACAAAAGTTTACTTAATGGCTTAGTATAAAAGAAATAGATTTGCCAATTTTGATCAAAATATATACATAAACAAACAAGCAAACTACAACAGTTTACTTATTCTCCATAAAAATAACAAGAGAGTTTTAAATTTACAATCCATTTTGCATCCATCAAAAACTAATAAACCATACAAAAACACTTCAATATACTGAATTATTTGTTTTTTGAAGCTCTTCAAAATGGTCTATAGAGAAATTGGGAAATGTTATGTTTTCAGGACCGTGAAATTGACATTGTCTCACTGATGAGCATATTTTCCACTTTCGTGCCTTCACGTTGCAAATCTGGAGGGGAGGGAGACAAAGTAATTAGAGTAAGACAATGTTAAAATTGTCTCACTGATGAGCGAATTGGCCACTTTGCTTTCTCAAATCAGTGAGAGAACATGTACATTGTTAGGTAACTGTAGGAAAAAACATTGTTTATCCACTGGCAATTAAGTTAAATATAAAGGGGAGAGCATATTTAATATGGAATTGACTTTAAAACTCATGAATATTAAATTAAATTTGTGCAGGATAGAAAACTAGTGTTTAATAGAATCAAGGAAAAAACAAACAGGCAATAATCAAATATAAAAATATAAACATATGACTTAAATAAAATTAATAGTCACATGCTATCTTATGTACAGATCATGAGTGAAAGTCCAACACTCCTCCTCACGAATGATCTTGGTGAAGTTATTTAAGTCCAAGTTGTGTCACATGTCTTTCAAAATTAGGTTTTGCAAGAGCTTTGGTAAGAACATCAGCCGTCATTGACTCTGTAGGAAGATACTTCAGAAATCAGAAATCCTTTATTGTCCTTAAGCAAAACAATCTTGCAATAGACATAGTCACATATTATGGTAAAATAGGGTTACACAGTAACCCAGTCAGACTAGATTAATAAGCTAATATCACAGACAATAACAGGTAAAAATTTAAAAGTTTAAAAGTAAAAGAAGGCTGTAGGCTGGGTGGAGAATATACTAAATAAACTATTAAACATCAAAACTTAACAACTTTTACATCAAAAAACTCTTTAATTACATAAAAAGGATGTTCAACAAGCCAGTTGTATAGCCTATCTTTAAAAACCAACTCAGGCAACGCTCTTGACTCAGAGTGCAATACATTGAATAACTTTAAGCTCATGATTGAATGGTTACTGGCACATTTACTTAGTCTATGGGACGGAATTTCAAGTAGAGAGTTAGATCTAGTGTAATGAGAATGGAAATCTTTTCTAACAGCCAAGTCTCCTAATTTTAATTTAACATCAAGTAAACACACATATATGTACAGGTTAATGACAGTCAATATCCTAGTTTTTATAAACAAAGGTCTACAATGGGCTTTGAGAGCTGATTTGGTTACTATTCTAAGTGCCTTTTTCTGAAGTAACAAAACATCACTTATATTACTACCGTTACCCCAGAGAATCAGACCATAGCTCAACACTGACTGAAAAAATGCAAAATAGGCTACTCGGATATATTTCTCAGAAACAACAGTTTTTAACCTATTCACTAAATAAATAACTCTTGACAGTTTTGAACATACTAAATCAATGTGAGCTGACCAAGATAGGCTGCTGTCAATCAACACACCCAGGACTTTTATGGGCCTAACCTCTTTACAAATTACACCTGAGCCCAAATCTTTGTTTTTAGTATGGCAAACTAGGTGTTGTGTCTTGTCTACATTAAGAAGGAGTTTATTGGCACTAAACCAATCCCCAGCTTGTTTCATTGTATGTTCTACAGATAACTTCAATCTATTGAGATCAGGGTGAACAGTTAGGAACGTTGTATCATCTGCAAACATTGTGGTTTGAGAACCCTCAATACTAAGTGGTAAATCATTGACAGAAATAAAAAATAGTAGGGGACCAAGGACCGAGCCTTGGGGAACCCCAGTTTTAACTTCAATGCACCTGGAATGCACACCCTTTGCATCAACAAACTGTGAACGACCACTTAAATAAGACTTAAAAAATTGGAGAGGACAACCACGGATGCCATAGTGCTCCAATTTACACAGCAAGAGACCATGATCGACACAATCAAAAGCCTTGCTCAAATCACACGCAGTCACCTGAGCAAGACTCCTTCCCTCAAAAGCTTCCAAAATCCCAGAAGCAAAGCAATCAATGGCATCCGTAGTTGACCTTCCACTCAGAAAACCAAACTGATATGCAGAAAAAAGCTTAAATCTATCAAAGTGTGTACATACCTGGTGCTTTACAATCCGTTCAATTAGTTTACCTAAAATAGGCACTAATGACACTGGTCGATAATTCTTGACATCACTTTTGCAACCCTTTTTGTGAATAGGAACCACTCGTGCTATTTTCAGCACTTCTGGGAAAACTCCCTCCCTAAAAATCGCATTGATACACAACACCAAAGGAAGCAATATTGCACTCAGAATATACCGGATTATGTAACCCGATAGGCCAAACACATCTTTACTTTTTGAAGCTTTCATGGCCCGCACTTCACTTATAACCTCCTCACTGGACACATATTTCCATTCAAGGCGAGCTTCACACCGACCGGACCTACGAAGCAGTTCCTCTGAAGACACATCAGGCTGACACATCAGGCTGCTTCAGTTCAATAGATCCTTCTTCAATTTTTTCTCGAACAAAGTGTAATCTAATGTCTATATGTTTTGATTTTGCACTGACGACAGGATTTGAGGCTATGTGTTGCGCTGCTTGATTGTCATTGTAAATTGTTATCTTCTCATGAGAATCTCCCATATCATGAATTAATCTTCTTAAGTGAAGTGCTTCTTTAGTAGCTTCTGTGATAGAGTAAAATTTTCTTCAGCAGTTGAAAGAGATGTACTCTTCTGTTTTCGAGATGCCCAAATAATACTTCCATTAGCATACATGAAACAATATCCTGTGAATGATTTTCTGTTTGTTGACGGGTTGAAATAAGTACTAGTCATTTTGTGAAAATGTTATGAGATGTTACAAGAACAAAACTTTACACTTCAACCTAGGCTGACTGATAAATTATTTAGATTGAAAAAAATTTTACTTGGGAATATATTAAATTCATGAGTCTAGAACCCTCTGGGCCCATAACCTAAAGGGGAGAGCATATTTAATATGGAATTGACTTTACAACTCATGAATATTAAATTAAATTTATGCAGAATAGAAAACTAGTGTTTAATAGAATCAAGGAAAAAACAATCAAATATAAAAATATAAACATATGACTTAAATAAAATTAATAGTCACATGCTATCTTATGTACAGATCATGAGTGAAAGTCCAACAAAATAAATATTCTATTTTTGTTTTTGATATACATTTTTCATTCTACTGGTCTGCAATTCATCTGCCGAACTGTGCTTGGTCTCTTTTGCAGGTGTAAAGAACAAATTACCATTTAACATAATAGTTGTTAGCACAGCAACGCTCGCCGGGTAATTGCTAGTTTTTAATATTAGTATGATATTACTATTTTAAAAATCAAGATCTCAGGGATATTAGCAGTAATTATTTTAGTTTTAAAAACGAGAGCTCGTCCCGTGGCCGAAAACTCAACCAAAAGTATGTTTTGTGCAAACTTTTTAATTTTCTGTTTATATTTTGTTGTTATTATGTCACCAGCATGGCAACCCATAAGACCCATGTTAATTTTTTTTAAATTTCAAACTAATTTGTTGTGCTTATTTTTGGGATTCTGCACATCTGCAGGAAAATATCTTTCATTTAATACCAGCCGCATGTAATTCAGTCTAGTTGTGTGGTAAGGCTAGCTGTCATAAGATTTGCAAAAGTTTTTTAGTAGCCTATATAAGAAAAGTTTGACATCCATTTCTAAATCGTACAGGCAATGGTTGGTTAACCATTTCTAAATTACTCATCACTATTTGTTTTTCAAAATCCTGATATTAGATCAACTCGTTAATTACAAGGCAAAAATGTGGTTAGGATTCTATTTTAAACTGTCGGTTCCTTAGATGCTGTTGGCTGTATGGGCTATTAATTAACAGCTGTGTCTAAGGAATATATCAGCCTTAGTCACTAACAAAGTAACAAAACTACAAGATGGTGTCACTCACCTCCATTCATACTTGGCTTAAAATACCTACATTCATGTGGCAGCCATTTCAGATTAAAGTATTAAAAAAGTAAAAGTATCTCAGTCATAAAAAAAATAATTTGGAATAATAACTGGCTCATCCAACAATGTTCTTTTTGAGAATTGGTGACAGCTGGTCCATATAGATGGGATCCCTACTTCAGTATCCATCCACAGTCATTGGTATGGTGTAAGTTGTGTTTCTTGTGCCACAAGAACTCTTTCCAATTCTGATAAGTTTGCTATCGTAAAAAAAATCCTTAAAACCTCGCCCCTTATGCTTGTACTCATCGTCTATTAAATATTTCAGTTTCATGATCAAACCTTTGTTCGGAGAATTATCTTAAACTATTTTAAATGTTTAGGACTACACAACCCTACTGATGCCTCTTTTACTTGACACATTCATTGAAGCTGTACCTAAACAAGACCTTGAAGATCCTGAAACTGGTGAGTAGGCTTGCTTAAATGTAAAATATAATATAAATGAGTAATTTCAGACAGTTCCATTCAAAGTTCCAGTAAAGTTTGGGATTTTCTTTTATTGTTTTAGTTAGTTTTACTCTGTACACTTTACATTTTACTTACACCATTAGGCAAGAAGCATTTTGTACAATTTGAAATAGTCTTAGAGTTAGTAAAATAAAAACACGTAAATAGTAAACATCAAAACACACTCTTCATACCGGACGGAAACATACCTTGAACATTGTCTATAACCAATTGTTAAGGATGATTAATCTATTTAAGAGTGTATATTCAATCCATGGCAAAAGGATACATTTATAACAGTGCCATATTTATTTAATCTGTGTAAAACATAGTAAATCTGTATTTCTATTTCTAAACAGAAATGACAGAAATCATTAAAGAATTGATAAAAACATACTGGATTGATTTTTTCTTCTAGGATGTGTAATAGGCGCTGACTCATTAGCCATTTTACAAACCATTGTTGAAGTTGTGTTGCATCTTTGGAACCTGTTAAAACTATCTTCGTTGGATGAAAACTTAGTAAGTTATTGAAAAACAACTTGTGTTAGGTTTAATATCTAGGTGAATGATGGCATGATCCATTATTTCTGAACAATTACTGAGCAATATTGTGTCATACCTATAAGGTGAAGCCAAAAATATATTGTTGATACACGTCTAACAAGTGTTTTCATACACCTCAATGTAATGAAATGCTAATGTTAGGCCTAATTGAAGCAGTTAAGATAAAATTATGTGGATTGCTCCCTAGAAATACTTGTTATAAGTAGCTTTTATCAAGGTAGTTATAGTATAGGCTTGCAAAGTGTGTTCCAACCTGTGGTATGCAGAAGCCACTGTGGTGGTAAGTGATGACATCACAAGTTCAAGTGTTTTATGTCAGTATTTTGTTGAGCTGGTGTATCAACATCATTTTGTTTTGTTTATTAGTAGTATGATGAGCACAATTAAAACTTTTTCACCCAGTTCTAAGTACTTCACTCAGGTATTCATTTATCAATATTGACAAAATTACCTTCTTGAAAAAGGTCCATACTTATAGTCGCAAAATGGGTAGATATGGTAGGAAACAGTCAGTCTGGTTTGCAAAGCCATTATTATTTCTTTTGGAATAATAAAGATAATCCATTCATAAGAAAACCTCCTTGTGAATAAGTAGTGAGCAAATTATATTGTGTCTCGTGAAGTGGTGGCCACAATAAAAGGTTGGGAAACGCTGTAGACCACTCTTCACACTGTAGCCTAATTGTATTTTCCAGTCCGACTGGTTTGTCAAGACCTGGGGCAGTTCTGTGGTGACCAGGATGTTGGTAGGAAGGTTCCCGTACGCTCTCTCTGCAGGCAACCGCAAGAGACAACGTAACGCATCCCACGTGTTGTCAGCTCTACAAGTCACCAAGGAACAGTCGTGTCTGTTGCTCAATCTGCGACTCTGCCTGCTAACTTTCCTGCTCAGCAAGCCTGATGATTTGTGGACAAGATGCATTGGGTTTATCAAATGTTAGTAGTTGTTTTGCAATCAAACATAATAATGTAAATTATGTAGGACGTAGGTGGAGGCAGCACAGGTTTGATCCAAAGCATATCCATATAAAATTACCTCTTTTCCTAAAAAGTGCTTGTAAGTTAATTCAAAATGCAGACTAAAATAACTGCTTTAGTTAAAGGAAATAAAAAGGATTCATTGACAAATAGAAAACGTTTAGATTAAATATGTTTAAAAAAACTCAATCCCAAATAATTGAAAAGTTATGTTTGGTTTGGTCTTGACAACTATCTTAACATTTTACTTAATCTTTTTCCAAACAGATTTGCTGAGGTTACCTGAGGCTTTCACAAACTTTGCTGAAGCCTTTACCAGCTTTGCAAATGACTCTTCCAACTTTGATGGGGCTTCATCTAGCTTTGTTTTAGTACCCTTTTAAATAATTATAATTTTTATTTTTAGTTATTTAAGTAGTTTATGCCAACATAAGTTACTACAAAATCATTTTTGACGTTTTGTAATCTGAAATCTAATCCCATCCTCAGGTAAGAAAGTACCTAAATTATCTCAGTACCTTTTTTGTTTCTTATATTGACTTCTGTTTACTTCTATGTTTAATTTTTTTTGCAACTTCCCAGCTTTGGCTGGATTTGTGTACTAATTTTGTTATATTTCAGGTACTTTCTTATCTGAGGACTGTATCAGATTTAAGGTCCTGAAACGTTTTTAAAACTAAAACTAGTTTTTCACCAATCCTGATGGAATATTTCCACAATAATCCCTCAAATAAGATCATTAACAAATCTGGAAATCCATTATTGACATATTCTACTTGTTCACAATCCAGGTAGTTTAAGAGGAGGGTCGTCACTGCAGTCTGATGAGAAGGATGTGCTCTGCCAATGTCTAGAGGCTACATCAGAATCTTGTGACTCTACTCTGCTGGGAGTCTTGTCTAACTGTGGGATACTCAGTGACCCCGACAACACACGGGCTGCAGACTTCCTAACCAGGATTGCTCTCAGGTTCACTCATCCTCTACACAGGTTGGTAAAGTAGTCTTATGGTAAATGCCGATGTTGTATAAACTATTGTCTTGATCCTGTCAAACATCCAACCTTTTGTTCGATCAGTAATTAATTGACGGCCCAAAGACAAATGGCATCTAGGTCTCATGCTGTACTGTAGGCTATCAGTATTTAAGTTTAAATTGATGATTTAATGTAGGTACATCTATGGAACTGTTTATATTATACAAGAGCTTACTTAACAAACTTGTTATTCTAGACATTTATTGATGACGAAACCCCTGATGTTTTATGCATATCTGAGAATTTTTTTTATTTCATGAAATTGAGAACCTAGAGATACAAAATTTTGACTATGTGTCATCTTTCTGCAGAACAGAAACGGATGGTGGAGGTGTTGCTATTTGGTGCTGCCCACACCTGAAATATCAACCCCTTGACACTGTCAATTTGAGTGTGGAAGGAGAATGCGAATTATCGGCAATGTCAGTCGAAATCGGTTGTGACGATAAGTTGCTTGTAGCCGGGTATAGACCACCGTCAGGATCATATGACATCTTCTTGGACCATATTGAAGACTGCTTAGATAAATACTTACTTACTTACTCCCATGGCCATTTGTACCCCAAGTGGTACTTGGCCTCACCAACACACTGTCTCCACGTCGCCCTGTCTCTTGCGGTATCTTCATTAACTTCCATCCTGGCCATATCTTTCTTTACTTCATCCATCCAGCGTTTCCTCGGTTTCCCTGTTGGTCTCCTCCCCAGTGGGTCATTGTTCCATATTTGATAAAGTGTGCTAGTTTCCTCTCTTCTAATGATGTGGCCGGTCCAGCGAAGCCTCCTGCTTTTAGCCTCTGCAATTTTATCTGGCTCCTTGAACAGGCCTCTTAGTTCCTGATTATGTTTAATCCTCCACACATCTCCTTCTTTTGTAGGGCCAAAGATTTTGCGCAGGACTTTATTTTCAAAAGTAATAAGTTTTTTCTCTGAGTTTTTCCAATTCCCATTTTATCCATTTCCAATTATCTATTTTAGCTTAGATAAATATAAACATTTATAAAAGTCATAAATATTTATTGTAATAACCAATTTCCATGAACGACTCTTACATAATTGATCTCCAATGTTATTACCTTTACAAAAATGTATACTTTTTTACTACATTTCTTGATAACACATATATTTGTTTTTTGTTTGAAATTTGTAGTGCAAAATCGTGAAACTTGTCATTTTATTGTTTTTGGGTCATCATAACTTTGTTAAAAAATGGTTATTAAAATCTTTTTACATTTCCATGTAGGGAAATACATTCCATACATTTTGTATATCTTGAATTTGACATAACAAGTTTTTGGTACATGCAGCAAAGTTTAACTTCAAAATTAATAAAGCAATTTTTTTCCCTACAGGGTGTCTAGTAGTCGGGAAAATCGGGAAAGTCGGGAATTAGTATTGAATTTCAAAATGGTCTTGAAAGTCGGGATTTAGTCTAAAATTTGATTTTAAAGTCGGGAATTTTAATGATTTTGCCGCGATCGTCGTCTTGCGTTTACGTAACCGCAAAAGCCAATGAGGATGTCTACACGGCCTCGGGAAATGTTCACGATTTTGCCGCGATAGTGGACGACGACGTTGACGTTTCCGAAACCACGAGAGACGACGATGACGTTTCAGTGACAGCGGGAGACTTCGATGACCTTTCCGTGACCGCGGGAGACGACGATGACGTTTCCGTGACAGCGGGAGACTACGATGACGTTTCCGTGACCGCGGGAGACGACGATGATATATGCTCGGCTGCGGGAAATGTTTATGATTATGTCACGATCGCGGACGACGACGATGACGTTTCCGTGAGCGCGGGAGACGACGATGACGTTTCCGTGACCGCAGGAGATGACGATGATATCTGCTCGGCCGCGAGAAGTGTTCATGATTTTGTCACGATTGCGGACGACGACGATGACGTTTCCGTAACCGCGGGAGATGACGATGACGTTTCCGTGACAGCGGGAGACGACGATGATGTCTACACGGCCGCGGGAAATGTGCATGATTTTGCCGCGATCGCGGACGACAACGATGACGTTTCCGTGACCGCGGGAGACGACGATGATATTTGCTCGGCCGCGGGAAGTGTTCATGATTATGTCACGATCGCGGACGACGACGATGACGATTCCGTGACCGCGGGAGACGACGATGATGTCTACACGGCCGCGGGAAATGTTTATGATTTTGCCGCGATTGCGGACGACGACGATGACGTTTCCGTTACCGCGGGAGACGACGGTGGTATCTGCTCGGCCGCAGGAAATGTTCATGATTTTGTCGCGATCGCGGGAGATGACGATGACGTTTCCGTGACCGCTGGAGATAACGATGACGTTTCCGTGACCGCGGGAGACGACGATGACGAATCCGTGACCGCGGGAGACGACGATGATATCTGCTCGGCCGCGGGAAATGTTCATGAGTTTGTCGCGATCGCGGACGACGACGATGACGTTTCCGTGACCGCGGGAGATGACGATGACGTTTCCGTGACCGCGGGAGATGACAATGACGACGTTTCCGTGACCGCGGGATTCGACGATGACGTTTCCGTGACCGCGGGAGTCGACGATGATGTCTTCACGGCCGCGGGAAATGTTCATGATTTTGCCGCGATCGCGGACGATGACGATGACGTTTCTGAGACAGCAGGATACGACGATGATGTCATTGATGTCTACAAGGCCGCGGGAAATGTTCATGATTTTGCCGTGATTGCGGACGACGACGATCACTTTTCTGTAACCGCTGCAGTTAATGATGGTGTCTAAACGTATGGTATGTGGAAGATTTCATGATAAAAAAAAAACAAATTTGCTAGTTAGAATTTTTTATTGCTACATTATTTCTTTACTTGAAAACACCACATTATCACAATACTACTTTATGACAAAGACAGGGGTTGGTGTAGTATTATTCAGAAAATTTGGTTAAGCTATAAAAATTGGTATCGGTATGAAGAATCTAGAATCGATACATTTTGGTATCAACACGCACTAATTATTGAAAAAACTAGTCTTGAAAAATCTGGAATTAGTCTTGAAAAGTCTGGAATTAGTCTTGAATTTTATAATGGAAATAAACTAGACACCCTGTCCCTACCTAATGTCAATAATTACTGTTCATAATATTTATTTAGCCATTTTCAAATTCTTCATTTCATTACGAACAATTCAAGTATACGGTTCAATAGGTTTGCTCTGTTGGTTTAGTTTATATGAGTTTTTGAAAATATGACTGCAAAATCGCCGAAAATGCCTTACCAGGGCGCCCAGAGGTGGGGTACTGTGGAACACAGGATTTTTTTTTGGGGGGGAAGGCTTTTTTAGGGGGATTTTGGGGGGGGATTTTTTGTTAGCTGTCATAATAAATGTATAATTTTGTATAGGCAGCCCGAAAAAGTGTTTCTAAGTAGCTCACTATCAACACCAACAACATTTTGCCCATTTGTAATTAAGATTGCTTCTAAGAATGGTAAAAACGCACCTTGTCAGACAATCTTACTAATATTATAAATGTGAAAGTTTGTGTGTTTGTTTGTTTGTTTGAAGTTCAATCTTGCATTAACTACTGGACGGATTGGGCTGAAATTTGGCATGATGGTAGCTCATGTTCCCGATTAACATATAAGCATATCCTTATGTCAAAAATCCTTTCGGGCTCCGCCCCAGTGGCTCTGTAGTTTCTCATGTTAACCTTATGAGTATTCATATTTAAAGGGAATTAAATAATTTAGTCAGCTGGTTCAACTAAAAAAGTTGGTTCTATGATATGCAAAATCATTAAAGGTTTTAAGATTTACCAACAGGGTACAGCACTATATTTTTTTGCATTTATGAAAACAGCTAATTTTAACTAAGCAGCAACAACAAACTGTGATATGCAATGAGAACTGTCAAAGTAGGATTGTTTACAGTTGTGTTTATGTTTTTAATTTCATGAATAATTTTTGATATTTTGTGAACTTTTAATAATTTATTTTTCTCTATTGTTAGATTAAGTGGTGGAATATTATGGCTATGGTAGATGTGTTTTTACTATAATATACCGTAACTTTAAAGAAGCAAATTTTTTTAAAATGTGTCCTTCCCCATTGCAAGTTCAAAGCTTGAGTTGAGTATAACTGCTATAAACATTTTTTTACTTATATGCCACCCCGTACGAAGGACGGGTACTCTGCTAGTCCTTAATATGTACTAGTGTAGAATTTTACTTGCTACATATGTTTTGGTGGTTCAAAACCATCTTTTGAGCAGTTCATCAGCTCATCAATAGTTTACTCAGAAACTTAAATTATGTTTATCTTATGCAGCCATGACGGTTTGCCAAATAAATAAACATCAGCTGGTCAAGTGGGTTGGATAGGTCTCTTCTTCTAATGCTGCCTAAATGTGTTTATTGGAGTATAAGATTGACTTATACATTTTAAAAGTAATGTTATAATTATTGGCATTGTAGTGATAAACACTTCACAACGTGGCTGGACTCCCTGCCAGGCCTGCTGTGTCGTCCGTCCGTGCCTTTATCAGCTGTTGTGAATGTCGCCAACATCGCCAGGTGTAAACACCCAGCACTCGTCAACAGTCTGGATGGCTGGATAGAGGAAATATTGGGTAAATTTAAAATGTAACAAGTATTTGTTGTCTTAGTCACAATTAAATGGGCTTAACATGTTGTGTAGATCCAAAATCTATACTATTATAAAAAAGAGGTGGTTGCTGTATGTGTGTATGGGAAAAGTAAACTCGAAAAATACTGGTCAGATTGGGCTGAAATTTGGCATGATGATAGCTCACATTCCCGATTAACATATAGGCATATTCTTATTTCAAAAATCCTTTCGGGCTCCGCCCCAGTGGCTCTGGAGTTTCCCATGTTAACCTTATGAGAAATGGAATTATTGAATCTTAACAGCTGTTTCAATTAAACAAGTTGGTTCTGTTCTATGATGTTCAATAGCATTAAAGTTACAAGGATTACCAACAGGGTGCAGCACTATTATTTCTTTTACATTTATGACAACAGCTAATTTGCAACCAAAAGGTGAGTGAGCGTAGCGAACGAACTTCAACCTGGAGGCGAGTTAGCGTAGCGAACGAGCTAACCTGAAGGCAAGTGAGCGCAGCGAACGAGCTCCAACCTAAAGGTGAGTGAGCGTAGCGAACGAGTTCTAACCTAAAGGTGAGTGAGCGTAGCGAACGAGCTCCAACCTAAAGGTGAGTGAGCGTAGCGAACAAACTTCAACCAGGACGTGATTGAGCCATGCGAACGAGATAATCTTGAAAATTAAGAAGTTAAACGGGGCAAAGCCCGCGGGTTACAGCTAGTATTGTAATAAAATTACAAGCTAATTTGTAGAATAGATAACAATTCATATTCAATAAACAGAAAATATTCAAATTTGATGATGTATATAAAAATTGTTCAACTTGAAGAACTCTCCCCACACCCAGATGAACAGTCTTTGTATGGGGATTTTTTCCCTGTCTACTGTTGTTCTAAAGCCTCTTATGTATCACTGTTATTGTTATTTTGTAATAGATTATCCTATCCTATTCTATCTTAGTATATGGGAAAAAGCAAAACAAGAAAAAACCAAGTCCAGACAGGAAACAACGTTTCATGTGGGAGACGGACAGCGTCCCAGATCTTTGTTTGGGTTAATCGACTGATTTATGGCCTGAGGGTAGTGGTCACCGGAGGATGGGTGTGTCAGGATCGAGAATTCTGAATTCCACCGGAGGCGTTAACTTTTTGTCAAAGATTTTGCTTAGAATGCGATTACTTTTTAACTGTACACTATCTTTTGTTCGAATTTAAGGCATTTATGATCAGAAATATTTTTTCGATTAGTAGACCTTTATTCGATTTTGTCATTATCAGCAAGTTTTTTGGTTTGGTTAGGTTATGATAGTTTGATTTTATAATTTAAAAATTATTAAAACGAATTTTAGGCATTTGTAATTTTATTTTATGAACGGAACTATTTTTTTATTAATAAATCATCATTAGATTTTTCGTTATCAGCAAGTTTGGTTCGTTTGGTTAGGTCATGACAGTTAAATTAAATTTAAATTTAACCTACAAACGATCCGTTTTGACAGCGATGGCGATAGAGCTAACAATTTGCCGCGAAAAGTTCGGCTTATGTACGGTATGATGCGGAAGCGTTCGACACCAACCTAGAACTGACAGGTCAACCGACCGTGATTAAGAGGATTACAGCCTGGGACATGTGCCTACACCCGTTTCATGTATTAGACAAAATCAAAATACCTTTTTATGGGTCCCTTTTATCCCCACTCATACAAAGGGTTCTTGTTGCGTGTTTTCAATCAGCAGTCAATCTGATTAAAATCAATAATTTAGAAATAATAACTGTTTAAAATACCACGTTTTAAATCATACTACAAATCATTAATTAATTTGTTCTTTCCACATATAGATTGTCTAGACAATTAGTGATTGTAAATATGTTGTAGCTATGAAAATACTTGTAAGATTTAAAACGAAATGCAATAGCTAATCTTCGCCTATTGAATTATTAGATATTTTAACCTCAATTAGGAAATAGGCTATAGATGTAAATCATACAAACTGTGAATATGTTTGTTTCCTATTGAGAGCTACCCCCTCTTTATTATTACCTATTGCATGCGCCCCACGTTTTTCGTTTTAATTTATCCATGTTTTTGCCTTCTGGATTGATAAAGAGTACTAATAATAGGTTAAATACCTTATTTACGTCTTCAATCCAAGTCTTTTTTTATGACTATAGTTTCGAGGCAAACAGCCGCATTGTCAAATCTTCTGTCTTGTTAATTTGTCTTGTTGTGCTTATATTGACCAAGTCAATTTCAAAACACAGATGAGTCCTCTATGGTAATATTGTGCACCTACCCTGGCCTGGTGAACAGATAGACATACCTTATTTTTATAACATTTACATCATTTTTCAGTATTAATTTTCGATGACTTTTACAGCTAATCTTCCAAGTATAAAAGTCACTGGAGACAAAAACGGAGACGGCAAGAAAATGATAGCGAACCTGTTGTACTGGGTTACTGACTTTGACGAGTTGATTGTCAAAACTCTGCGGGAGCTGATAGAAGGAGAGAAGCTCAGCAGAGAAGTGACAAACCATCTAGCAAACATTGTCTTGTTGAAGTATGTTTATCAACCCTTGGTAAAATAACAAATTTTTCGCTTTAAGTATGAATTGTAAATGAATATGAACTATTTTCATTTCCTCATGATTTGTGATTCAATTAACCCATTGTGCATATGGGTTTTTATTTTTTAATTAAAGTGTAACACGGTGTAAAGTGTACGTTTTTTATGACTCTCCTTGAAAAAAGCATTTGGAATATATGATACTGCTGTTCAAAAATATCTGTCTAAATGTAATTTTTAATGGAGTCATTTTTGTTTTAGGACTGAAAACATTGAAGATGACAGTGAAAAGAGAATGTTTGGGGAAATATTGTGTAAAGTGTAATAAACATTTATACCTTTTTAATCATCTTGTTTACTATTCCACTGTAATTTTCTACTTGTTCCTGATGTAATATAAGTGTATGTTAATGGAAAAGTACTAAATCCAGGCACTTTGGACGTACAATTAAGTCCAAAAGCAACGTGCTAATAGATTAATTAATATACGGTTTTTCACGATAGATCGATATAGAGTGTGTGTTGGTATGTACCACGGTTTCTCAATGACCACTCTCTCATGGTTGTAGTAGTAGGTAGACTGCTACTGGGATGCACTCCAAATTAAGACTATTTCCACTTTGATAATTACCTTGGGCTCTACTCCACAGGCTTTCAAATATATGAGGTGAGGTTTTTCAAATTAAACATTTAGTACCTGGGGACCGAGCTTTGCTCGGGGGAAATTATTAGTTTACTCTGAAAAGTATTGCAGATACATTAATCCACTCCCAATCTCCAAACTGCTAACCTTCACTACTTACTTCACCACTCCCTACGTCGTGGACCTGTTTGCCCTCCTTCCCTATACCATTTTAGAAATGAAGATACATAAATGCCACAGACAGTTCCCACACTCTGCACTGCTAGCATTACTACTTCCTACACCATTTCCTACGTCATGGACATGTTTTACTCCCTTCTCGTAGCATTTTAGGATTGTAGATACCTTTTAATGTAATTCCCATAAACAGTTCCCAGACTCCAGACTGCTCACCTTTACTACTTCCTTCACCACTTCCTACGTCGCGGACATGTTTCTCTCCCTTCCAATGGCATTTTAGGATTGCAGATACCCTAATCTAATCGTCATTAACAGTTCCAACACTCCGGGCTGCTTGCCTTTACTACTTCCTTCACCTCTTCCTACGTCGCAGACCTGTTTCCCTCCATTCCCATAGCATTTTAGGATTGTAGATAACTTGGTCTAATCGTTATTAACAGTTCCCACACTCCGGACTGCTCACCTTTACTACTTCCTTCACCACTTCCTACGTCGTGAACCTGTTTGCCCTCCTTCACTATACCATTTTAGAATTGCAGATACATCAATGCCACAGACAGTTCCCACACTCTGCACTGCTAGCATTACTACTTCCTACACAATTTCCTACGTCATGGACCTGTTTTCCCCCTTCTCGTAGCATTTTAGGATTGTAGATACCTTAATGTAATTCCCATAAACAGTTCCCAGACTCCAGACTGCTCACCTTTACTACTTCCTTCACCACTTCCTACGTCGCGGACCTGTTTCCCTCCATTCCCATAGCATTTTAGGATTCTAGATTCCTTAATCTAATCGTCATAAACAGTTTTCACACTCCAGATTGCTCGCCTTACTACTTCCTTTACCACTTCCTACGTCGCGGACCTGTTTCCCTCCATTCCCATAGCATTTTAGGATTGCAGATTCCTTAATCTAATCGTCATAAACAGTTTTCACACTCCAGACTTCTCGCCTTTACTACTTCCTTCATCACTTCCTACGTCGCGGACCTGTTTCCCTCCATTCCCATAGCACTTTAGGATTGCAGATTCCTTAATCTAATCGTCATAAACAGTTTTCACACTCCAGACTGCTTGCATTTACTACTTCCTTCATCACTTCCTACGTCGCGGACCTGTTTCCCTCCATTCCCATAGCACTTTAGGATTGCAGATTCATTAATCTAATCGTCATAAACAGTTTTCATGCTCCAGACTGCTCGCCTTTACTACTTCCTTCATCACTTCCTACGTCGCGGACCTGTTTCCCTCCATTCCCATAGCATTTTAGGATTGCAGATTCCTTAATCTAATCGTCATAAACAGTTTTCACACTCCAGACTGCTCGCCTTTACTACTTCCTTCATCACTTCCTACGTCACGGACCTGTTTCCCTCCATTCCTATAGCATTTTAGGATTCTAGATTCCTTAATCTAATCGTCATAAACAGTTTTCACACTCCAGACTGCTTGCCTTTACTACTTCCTTTACCACTTCCTACGTCGCGGACACTGCGAGCTAAAGCCTTCATTTTTATTCCTCCTAAATGAGCTACGTGTAGTTCTCGAAGCACATGAGGTCTGAGAGATTGAGGTATCATGACTCTACAGCCCTTCAGTACACAATCATCTTGAATGGACAGCTCGTTATCGTGAAATCCGTATTGTTCAACAGATTGTCCCGATTTCAAGGCCTGTAGGACTGGACCCAAAACAGAATCGTTGAGAGTTTCCTTAGCCACCACGGTACTGTTGATATTGAGTGTTTCCAGTTGATTTATGTGGTACTTCGAGAGGTCATCTACAGAATGTTCTTGTACAACTTCGATAGGGAATCGAGAGAGATAATCTGCATTGCAATGATGAGCAGTTTGCCTGTACTCTATGTCATAGTCGAACCCGGAGAGAAAGTGAGCATAGTTGAATACCCGTGTTGCCTAGATTGTTGGTAAGGTCTTTGCTGGATTAAAAATTGACACCAGCGGTTTGTGATCAGTGATCAAAGTAAATTTGCGGCCATAACAAAACGGGAAAAACTTTTTCAGGCCCCAATATATTCCCAAGGCTTCCTTATCGATTTGAGAGTATTTTTGTTCTGATTTTGATAAAGATCGAGAGGCGAAGGCAATTGGCCTGTCTGTTCCATCCTTATAGCGGTGCGAAAGAACGGCTCCTACACCTACCGGCGAAGCATCAGTAGCTAAGACTAGAGGCAAGCTAGGATCAAAGTGTACCAACACGTCATCACTTGTAATAATTTCTTTAATCTTCAGAAAACTCTGTTCACAAGCAAAGCTCCATGTAAAAGTGTTTCCTTTTCGTAGCAGCCGATTCAAAGGATGTAGCAGTGTAGCCAAATTCTTTATGAATTTGTTGTAATAATTCGCAAGGCCTAGGAAAGTTCGGAGTTCAGTTACGTTCTCTGGTCTTTTACATTTTAAAATGCTCTGTATTTTAGCATCTGACTTGTGTAGTCCTTTGCTATCGATCACATGACCTAAGTACACAATTTTGTTCTGGAAAAACTTGCACTTCTCTCTATTTAACCTCAAATCATTTAACTTCAATCGTTCAAACACCTGTTCCAGTCGGCGAAGAAGCTGTTCCCTGTTAGATCCTTGGACAATTACGTCGTCAAAGAAACATTGTACGCCTTTTAAGTTATGTAATGTTTTGTCCATGAATCTTTGCCATAACAAGGGTGCCACTTTTACTCCAAACATTAATCTGTTCACTTTAAACAGCCCTTTGTGAGTACTGATTGTTTGCATGATGGCACTGTCTTCGTCCATCTCCATGTGCAAGTATGCGTTATAGCACTTTAGGATTGCAGATTCCTTAATCTAATCGTCATAAACAGTTTTCACACTCCAGACTGCTCGCATTTACTACTTCCTTCATCACTTCCTACGTCGCGGACCTGTTTCCCTCCATTCCCATAGCACTTTAGGATTGCAGATTCATTAATCTAATCGTCATAAACAGTTTTCACGCTCCAGACTGCTCGCCTTTACTACTTCCTTCCCTTAATCTAATCGTCATAAACAGTTTTCACACTCCAGACTGCTCGCATTTACTACTTCCTTCATCACTTCCTACGCCGCGGACCTGTTTCCCTCCATTCCCATAGCACTTTAGGATTGCAGATTCATTAATCTAATCGTCATAAACAGTTTTCACGCTCCAGACTGCTCGCCTTTACTACTTCCTTCATCACTTCCTACGTCGCGGACCTGTTTCCCTCCATTCCCATAGCATTTTAGGATTGCAGATTCCTTAATCTAATCGTCATAAACAGTTTTCACACTCCAGACTGCTCGCCTTTACTACTTCCTTCATCACTTCCTACGTCGCGGACCTGTTTCCCTAGATACATAAATGCCACAGACGGTCCCCCACACTCTGCACTACTAGCCTTACAACTTCCTTCCCCATTTCCTACGTCATGGACCTGTTTTCCTCCCTACCATTACATTTTAGGATTGCAGATACCTTAATTTAATCGTCATAAACAGTTCCCACACTCCAGACTGCTCGCCTTTACTACTTCCTTCACCACTTCCTATGTCGTGGACCTGTTTTCCTCCCTTTCCATAGCATTTAAGGATTGCAGATACCGTAATCTAATCGTCATAAACAGATCCCACACTCCACACTGCTACCCTTGACTATAGAATCCAGTAATCTTCAGTATAATCTTTGCTCAATAATAACAACTGATGTATTTCCTTTTGTACTGTATTTTGTTTTGCTAGTGTACTGTGGATAGACAAATTACAAGTCTTTTGTTTACTTTTTCCTTGTTATTAATTTCAGCCAACATGGTTACCTAGCAACCCATAAGACTAATGTTAAAAAAATTTGATTTTTAGTTTCATTTTTCTACGTATTTAGATTTTTGTTGGCAGTTCTAACTGCAGTAAACTCGTTTTTAGGCCAGAAATAAACTATTTACAACATTTGAAGAAAATCGTCGGAGCCGTTTTCGAGATCTTGGTGCAAGCATATACAAGCAAACCTTGCTCGTATTAGAGTATAGGATTGAATTTCATGGTAACCATGACAATACTCACAATGTTTACATTTTTGTTGACAAACTGACTAATGCATTTATTTCACAATTCCACACAGCTGGTTTGCACATTAAAATTACAAGATGGGGTCATTGACTTTGGAAATAAAGTAAGATTCTACAACCCATGCTGTATCAACCACAGCTTTGCCCTTGAGTTTTCAAAGTTAAGTTCATTACATTATTTTATCGATCGATTTTCATGGAAACTGAGTTATAACAACAAAATTTACATGTTTTACTAATTTGATTTATTTTAATAATTTCTGTTTACAATTTTGTTTAGCTCAAAGATATAGGTTTTGTTTTTTTTACAAGGAGATAACTTAATCTATGTGCATTTTTAAATTTGCACATTAAAATTACAAGATGGGGTCATTGACTTTGGAAATAAAGTAAGATTCTACAACCCATACCGTATCAACCACAGCTTTGCCCTTGATTTTTCAAAGTTAAGTTCATCACATTAT